ATGTTATTTTAATTATTGTTATTTAAAAAAGCAAGACAAAAAAATAGATAAAATACTCACAAATAATTGCGATTCGTCGAATATGTATTTTCCTGCAAACAACATGATGGTGTTTTCTTGAATTTCATCAATTAAATTTGCTTTGTCTACATTGAATGCCTTGTATTGGATGTCTACATATTCATCATCATCCAATATGGCTGTAGCTGTGCCGCTTAAGGTTCTGGAGCCATTGATGGACTTGACAAACACAATTGCGGTCAATACAATAGACATTGTTCTTTTGTTTGATGTATAATGAAACAAAATCAAGGAAATCGTGGAAATTGCGGAAGTCGTGGGAGTCATGGAAGTCATGGAGGTCATGGAATTCATGGAAGTCGCGAAAGTCATGAAGTTATAGCAGTTGGTAGAGGTCGTGATAAAAGTCATGAAAATAATGAAGATACCGATTCTGTTCAAGGTGACCACACTTCATTTTTCTCAGAAATAATTTTACAAGATCAATGTGGAAAAGAATGTAAAAAAAATCAAGCTAACACTAGAAATAAAAAAGATTTTGACAAATTTCCTGGTCTTGAACTAGAACCAATTCAAGGCACCAATTTAATTTTTAAGTTCCTGATGTAATGTGACTTTTACAATGTTTAGCCCAATAAAATATGCTTATAAATTATGAGTCACTCTGACTACTGATAAACAAATGAATCAGATGAATAAATAAATTAAATGTTATAAATATATAAATCAGATATGTAACACGATATCATATGATCTAAACATATGGGGCAATTGGGCGCAGTGTTACACAAAAATATCATTAAAAATATATATAAATTATAAAACTAGATTTAGTGATCATCACGTGATTTGCCGCAATAAGTTGGTTTCGATTGATCAATAAGGTTGGGACTTCTTCAGTCCACGATTTACTATCTCACACTAATCTAAGGTTTCTGGCCAAAACTGCTTCTATTAGTAGCCGAAATTGCCCAAATACTTTGGGCAAAAGTTGTTTTTTTATAAGCCCAAACTACTTTTTGTTATTAGCCGAAATTGAGTGAAATTATTTTAAAGTTGTTTAAGTTAAAACAAGTTGATTCATATAGTTTTTTAATGTTCATGCTTATAAAAAAATGTTGAGAAGCCCAAATTGCCCAAACTAGTTGGGCTTTGAGAAAACAGTTCGGACCAGAAACCTTACACTAGCCAGCATCAACATCTTATGTTTACACTCAACAAAAGAAAAGTTTTGATGGTAAATCTATTGGGTTATGAATGACAGATATAACTATAATTTTATGTTTTATAATTGCTATAATTTATGTTGCTAAAGGACTAAAAAAAAAATAAATCAATATTGTAATAATATGATTATTTCTCCTCTAAGTATTTTTGCTTTTTATTGAGTAATAACTCTATTTTCTTTTCTTAATGTTTATTATTTTTTCTTGGTAAATTTCATAGGTAATCTTTTCTTTATCTAAATATATTTGTGAAGATTTAGTAAGTATCTTCTAATTTAAAAATATAAGGTGCAATTTTTTCACCTTGTTCTTTCTTCAGAATACTTCTAATGGTACTATAATTCTTGGGTTCCATTGTAGATCTGATGTAAATTAACTTCATATTAACTATTTTTATATAGAGGTAATTTTATATATCACCTAATATTAAGAGGGTAACAAATGAAATATTTTAATAATAATCACGTTACTAAATTTTGATCCCTGAAATTCTTGGTAATACCAATGTTCACTTTGTCTGGTTTTGTTGCAGTATACCCCATATATATTTTTTATATATTCTATAGATTTTCATATTGAATAATTATATACAATAAATAAAATGTCAATCAATGCAATTAATATAAACTATCAAAGATTGCCAACTCGGCAACATATCACTGAAATCAATTATACCGGTAGAAGTTTTTCCAGAAAAAGAATCAATCATGAAATAGAAAAACTTAGGACTAGAATTCCAAATAAAAAATTTCAAGTTCTTCTTCCTTATGAGCAGTGGAAACCTGGCTCATGGTTTGAGGATGGAGAAGATATATCATTATTTTCATTGCTAGATCGTTATGATGAGTCCCAATTGCCAGAAGGTGGAGGAGATCCTGGATCTTATAACCGATTTATTATTTACATGATGGATCCTCCAGCATTATCAGGTGGATGTAATGCCAAAAAAGACAGCGGTCTAAATGATTGTCTCTATCAATGTTTATATCATGCATATGGAATGTTTTCAAAACTCCCAAAAAACCATTGAAAAGCTGGAAATTCTTAAGCAAGCTTTGGGTTTACAAAGGAATGAAGCAGTTCCAGTAGAACTTATTGAAAAAGTAGAAAGATTAGTTAAAACTATTGCTATTAATATAGTTGGAGATTTTACCCAAATTTCCAAAAATACCACTCATTGACAAATTACTCTTACACTTGCTGATGAGCATTATTCCATTAGACCAAATCCAGATTGATTCAAAATTAATACTACTACTTCTAAGCCAAAGGAACCTTTAATATATAAAATGGATGGAATAAATAATACTGTAAAAATTTTTAATGGAAAAGATGTATGCACTGTTACTACTATAGAATGGCAAAAGTTACAATCAAAATCTCGTTTTGGGAAAAATTGTTATATTCCAGTTGTCATAAAAATTCCAGAATTTATGAATCATTGGATGAAGCTTATACAAGAATACATGAGGAACAAAATATTTTGCTAGAAGAATCTAAAAAAATTGGCTTATCAATTGATTTATTCATGTGTCATGGCAGTTATAAGAAAGTTGCATTATGGTTATTTGAAAGACTTAGCCAGGCAATTCAAGCCAATGAAGCATTAGGTCCTATGGAAGCAATATGGATTTCTGATGGAATGATGGGCGGAATTATTTGGGCTCAAAATGAGTGGAAAGGATATGGCCGGCAGTATGATGAAACTAGCTTATATCCCAGTATTATGCAATCAGCAATTACATTTCCAATTAGTAAAGGAAAATTCCAAATACTTAAAGATTTCATTAAAAAACATGAAAATGGTGATTATGCCATATATGGAATATATCGGGCAGAAGTTGAGTATAAAAAAGATATGAAAGTATTATTCATATATAATAAATGTAACAAATATACTCATACCGATTTATCCATGCCAGAACATTGGGACTATACATGCTATGGTAATTATTTTGCCAAAAACGTAATACGTAATACGTAATACGTAATTACGAAATTAATTACGAAATTAATTACGGGTGACGAAATTAATTACGGGTGACGAAATTAATTACGGGTGACGAAATTAATTACGGGCGACGAAATCAATTACGCGTGACGAAATCAATTACGGGTGACGAAATCAATTACGCGTGACGAAATCAATTACGAATGACGAAATTAAATGACACGTATTATTTATCTCGTTATACTAGTAAAATGACATAATTTGACAACTTTTTTTAGAAATATAGAATTTATTCTGTTATAATAACATGTCAGTATAATGGAGAACCAATCAAAATCATTCTCATTTCTGAAAAAACATAATAATAAGGAAATAAAACTTATGCCGGGATCAAGATTGACTGGCACCATGGAAAATTCTGATAACACTTCTGTATAATGC